GACAAAGATGCAGAAATTTCAGGGTGTACGTTTTGGTTACACCCGTATCGTGCGCGGTATGTACACAACGCCTGCCATACAAAGATGCAGAAATCTCATGGTGGGCGTGCGCGATACAAATTGTAGCGTCATCAAAGTTCACAACGCCAAGAGGACAAACATGCTGAAAATTCAGAGTGGACGTTCGCGTTACACAATTATAATGTGCATTAAGTCCACAATGCTTACAATACAAAGATACAGCAATTTCAGGNNTGGACGTTCGCGTTACAAACTTATAAAACTTATAAAGTGCTTAGTTCACAATGTCTACAATACATAGATACATAATATTCAGGGTGGACGTGCGCGTTACAAACGTAAAGTTTCCTTTAAGTTCAACAATACAAAGACACTGAAATCCGGGAACTCGCCCTGGAACCCGCCCCAGAACCTTCCCCGAACGCAGAACCCGGAACGCATCCGGCGCTGCGGAACCTGCCCCAGACCTTGCCCCAATCTTCCTCGAACCTTATCTCGGCTGAAGACCTCAAGCTCTCACTGCTGGGGAAATATGCACGAAAATCAGAGTAAATATCCACCGAAGCCTCTGACCACGCGAAACTCAATGATGAGACTCTAAAGCATGACACCTTAAACCTCAGACCTGGTCAAGCCCAGGCCACCTGTCTGCGCAGCAGCGGCACTCCTCATCCGAGTCCATCGTCACCTACAGCGGGTGGTGCTGGACCAGCCGAATGCAACTTGGCTTCGTCCCTAACAGGATCCATGTTGAAGTACGCACATGGCATGTGTGCAGTGCAAGTGCATCGGTCATCATGGGACCTTGTACTACAGTGTGCATCAACCATTTTGAAGCACCCCTGCGGCGCCTTGACAGAGCGATCCAACTCGCTGGCATGGGCATCAAGAAGTGGAGCAGGGCTCGCCTGCTGTCATCATACTCGTTGGAGGAAACCGAGTGAGCGAGCAAGCATGGGAAAAAGGGTGGGTCAACGCGTAAGTGGGAGGACTGCAAACATGCCTGGCGCATCTTGCTTTTGCACACGAGGCAACAGCTGCCCAAAGCCGACACGCCCACTCCTGGTCACAGCAACCCATATCATGGCCTCTGGTTCGGCGAGCCGCTCGTTGATCCGGTCCCGAATTTCGACATCATTGAGCTCACCTTGCACATGTTGTCACGTGAGCCCACCCTGAGCAGCGACCTCCTCCCAACGCAGACAGAAACCTCCAGGGCTCGAACATCGTCTTAGACTCCCAAAAGGGTGCTACGGCTGCACATCGTTTTTGTCAAGCAACATTGAAGATCCAGTTGGAATTGCAACAACGAAAACCAGAATACCGTGTTACCCGTCGCAACCAACACATGCTCTTGGACTCCAATCCGCAACTTGCATGCTGGACCCTGCTGCACCGGCTACGTGCATGCTTAACCCGAACTGCAGATAGCCGTCGCGGTAGCCCGCAAGAGTGCCGTATGCTC